CGCCGCCGGCTCCCACAACGTGTCAAGCGACGCCGCCGGCTCCCACAACGTGTCAAGCGACGCCGCCGGCTCCCACAACGTGTCATATTAAAATTGATTTAATTCTCTCACCAAATGGGAACTGGCTTTTCTTTTTAGACCCAGGAGCAGATAATGAACTGCTGGCACTTGGTTTCCAGCTATAGTTGTCCAGAGTGCTGCAGTATTTCTGGTAAACTGTAGGGGGATGCAACATTGGGTCGGATGCAGGACTTTGCCCTCCAGCTGGAGGGTTGTCTGTCCAAGCCCAGGCTCCTGCTTTCAGTACAGTGTCCCTGGGCAAGACTTCACCTGCATTGCCTAGTGCTGGTGATCAGAGGGGTGGTGGTGCCAGTGTACGGCAGGCTGGCTTGTTGGTGAACCCCAGGACAGCTGTGGCTACAACCTAGCTCACCACCATCAGTGTGAGTAAATGTACTGTAAAGCACTTTGGTTAAGTCCTGACTTGAAAATGCAGTATAAGTACAGATCATAAAAGTTTGTTCCACCTTCTGCTGTTGCCAACACTGCATGTGAAATCAGTTCCATTGTTTTGCGAAGCTACAGACTAACAGCCAAATGCATCTGTGGTCATTGAGTTTATGACAGTCTCACTTTCTGCTACACTGCCTACGTTCCAAATGTTTGTCAGCTGCTTCACTAGAGAAAATAAAACTTGGACTTGTTTTATGTAAATGTCAAGGACCTCTACATCTCTGGCAGACCAGGAAGAGTCATAGTTTAACAGACCTCTCTGCAGCTTCTGTTACCCTTCATTACTCCATCCAGTGTCTTGCCCATGACCAAAATTGGAAAAGATTCCCAAAGGAGTAAATCATGAAATGAAAAGGACACCAATTTTTAGATGAGTTTTCGGAGTTCCTCTCTGATTTGGTTTTAAATATTGACATGATCATCAAAGTGGGGGATTTTAACATCCATGCTGACATTGAAGGTGATTTAAGTGCAGCATTTAATGCCGTCTTAGACGCCATTGGCTTTGTTCAAAATGTGGATAGTCCCACACATTCTGATCTTCATACACTGTCCAGTCATTGAAGCTTGTCTCACAGTGGTTTTTTGAAAATAGCCAAAAGTCGGAACAGAAAAGCATTATGGGATTTGCTGTGGCTACCCAACAGCAGCGACTAAAAAAGATGGCGCGGGCGACGCGCGATGGAGGAGTTACATGACAAACGGAGTGAAAAGCTGCGATTATCTGAACAGTCTTTTAACTGAGTTCACTATATAGTCCCTCCTCTATGTAGTGATGGAGGGGTTTAGGGCGGACGGTTGGTCAGTCAGCTGGTATGAACTATGAGAACAGCAACTTTTAAACAGAACATTTAGAAGGAGAAATGGGATCGAGAACGCTCTTGCAAAGAGTGGAGAGGGCAGGTCTTTGAAAAAAGTCCTCCACAGTACCTTTAATATAAAAAAGGAATTCTGATGTGTTTGCAGCACTGTATCGATCTCTGATGGGTTGACTTTATTCCAACGTTTTATTCTCTCACACTTGTGACTCCAGAGCACCTAACCTTTATAGACATGAACTTAAAACAGCGGATATGTTATCATTAATGTCAAAGAGATAATGGAAGCTGTTCCATGGCAGTGAGTGAACTAGTCTGACAGATCTTGAGCCGATAAAAGAGGAAATGTTCAGGAGTCGTTCCTGACAGCTATAGGAACACCTCAGACCCGAATGCATGAAATAAGGAAACATTGAAAAGTTTGACATCTTCAAGGTT